AGCAGGAAGGTTCAGAAACAAACGTAAACTCAGGAGCAAACTGTAGTGCAGTGAGCAGCTTAATCCTAGCCGGGTGACGCTGGGATGGGAGCTGGAGAGCCAGAGAGAACCACAGGATCTGGCTGAGTCCAGAAGCTTCAGTCAAGAAGCCCCTTGAGATCCAGTGCAGGGGAGTCCGAGCTCTCCTCTACTACGAGCTGGATTCGCTGGTACATAATCGTAAACTGGCCTATAAAATGGGCGCCACATTTCAGGAAGGATGTGGACAAACTGGAGAAAGTCCAGAGAAGAGCGACAAAAATGACGAAAGGTCTAGAAAACATGACCTGGGAGGGGAGATTGAAAAAACTGGGTTTGTTTAGTCTGGAGAAGAGAAGACAGAGGGGGGACATGAGAACAGTTTTCAAGTACATAAAAGGTTGTTACAAGGAGGAGGGAGAAAAATGGTTCTTCTTAACCTCTGAGGATAGGACAAGAAGCAATGGGCTTAAATTGCAGCAAGGGAGGTTTAGGTTGGACATTAGGCAAAACTTCCTGACTGTCAGGGTGGCTAAGCACTGGAATAAATTGCCTAGGGAGGTTGTGGAATCTCCATCATTGGGGATTTTTCAGAGCAGGTTGGACAAACACCTGTCAGGGATGGTCTAGATAATACTTAGTCCTCCCTTGAGTGCAGGGGCCTGGACTAGATGACCTCGCGAGGCCCCTGCCAGTTCTATGGTGCCACCTTAAAAGGGCCCGAAGTCCTTGCTCAGTGAGGACAACGGGAACTTTGCCAGAATTAACCCGAATGGCTGGAATCTGGTTTCATTTACACAGCTGTAAATCTAGAGTAACTCCACTAAGTTTCCTGGAGTCACTCTGGGTTTACCCCACAGGAGGGAGAGCCCTAAGTCAGGGCGTTCAGCCTGAGGCCTTGGGCTTGTGCCCCATCAGCACTTACTAAATAATGAATACTAATAACTGTGACGACGTGGGGGATTTCCTTGGTTTTTCCTTGTTTTTGGTGGGGTTTCAATGGTTTGCATGCGGAGGGGGTGGGACTCAGTTTCCCTGGGTATTACTGGTTTAACGAGGGGAGGGGAGAGGGAGTTTGTTGTTACAGAGGACCGGAGAGGGAACTTGGGACCCCAGCCAATGGCCTGGAGGATGGATACCCCAGCGACCGGTGACCTGAGACCCCGACCCGGAGACCCAGCTCAGGAGTTGCAGCCGGTTCTGGCCAGTGGGAGGACAATGGGCTGCGGAGTGAGGACCCAGTGACCTAACCAGCTGGTTCCAGCCAGAGGACAGAAGCGAGGAGAGGAGGCCCCGCTTTACGACCCTGTTTACCTGGAGAGAAGACAATGGACAGAGGGGGGGCTTGGGGCTGGGGATCTCAGAGGCCCAGCTGGGAGCAGGGGGGCTCAGGGTTGGAGAGGGGGAGCAGGCAGAGCCCACCTGGATGCAGAGAGACTGGGATGTGCTGGGCTGAGGGAGGCCAGGCCTGAGGCCCTGAGAGTTTCCTGTGCTGTGTTCATCTCTCAATAAATCCTCCTGTTTTACGCTGGCTGAGAGTCACTCCGGTCTAGAGAACAGGGTTGCATCAACCCCTTCGGGGGTGGAGACCTGGGGGGTCCAGAGCGAGTGGACTCCCTGAGGGGGCCTACGGCGAGAGAAATTCGTACTAAGACTCAGAGAGGTGTGGCTCCAGGAGGTGGTGGGGCCTGACCCCGAGAGAGAGTGGACCCCCGTGAAAGGCCGTCTCACTGAAAGGGGCACCCCCCCACGGACCGCACGGGGCCAAGAGTGGGCACGATCTGTGAGTCTGTGACAATAACTAATAATTGTAAGTAAACGTTCCACTGGCCGGCAGCCAGGTTGGGAAAGGGACCGAGCCTGCTTCCACAGCCAGAACGCTCAGCACGGACACGGGTTGCCAGGCTGGTTTCCTGCTGGGATGCTGCCCCAGTGCTGTTTGCAAGGTCTCTCTGTGGGGGGAAGGGCTTTGCTAGCGGGGACTTTTATGGGGTTATTCCAGAATTGCACCGGGTGAACAGAGATCAAGAACGGGACCATCATTTTTAACTCAAATAACTAACTAAAACAATGAGGAGTCCGGTGGCACCTTAAAGACTAACAGATTTATTAGAAATATATTATTATTATATATATTATATTATAATTATAATGCCCTAAAAATCTGTTAGTCTGTAAGGTGCCACCGGACTCCTCGTTGTTTGTGTGGATACAGACTAACACGGCTACCCCCTGATACTTGGTAACTAACTAACTAACCTTTAACCTGTTAATCTGTCACCTTTAGAAACTTTCCTGCTTTTAGCTTCCAGTCCCATGTCCCAGTCCTGCCAACACTTATGCACATACTTTCCTTTACACATGTGAGTATTCCCCTGAACTCTCCTGGGCTGGTCAACGTGAGTACAGTCAAACACATGCCACGGTCTTTGCAGGATCAGGGCCAAAATGCAAATCTCTCCAAGGTTTGTCCAGACCGGATGGGCAGTGGGGAGTCGGGGGTTCTATAGAGTTTGCTCTGAATTCAGGTTTCACCAAGAACTACCAGGGCCGTGCAAAAGTCACAATGGATTTTGGTGAAAGCGTTCGGGATTTCTCTTTGGGCAACTGCCTGCCTGCAAAGATTTGCTTTCTGCTGGTGGGTGGGGAGGTTTTTTGATATCCAACGGGTGAGTTTTTATATATGATTTCATTGCAATTTCCACCAGTGGTCAAAAATGGGCCAGATTTCACTCAAAACATCCAGTGCTTTTTTAAAAGCAAAGTTTTACCCTTTTAGGTGAAACAGTCGCAAATTTGCCAAGAAAAACTGGAGGGTTTTCAAAGTGGCGATCAAGCGGGGAGCACTTGCCCTTTGGTGGTGATGTTTTTGCATGGCTCCTTCTACTCCGCTCCCCTCCCAACGGGCGCCGAGAAGAGAGAAATAGGAAGGAGAGTTCTACGCACCATAGGACTTACCCCGAAATTGGAAGCAGCAAAGCGGTCTGAGGCAGACACGTTGGTGGAGGCAGTGGTGTGGGCATAGTATGCGTTGATGTTGGCTAGAAGGGTGCTCATCACGGCCGGCACTCCGGGACACATGTATTTGGAGGACAGGCAGGCAAAGTGACTGAAAGAGAAGAGATGGTAGGCTGCAAGGCCTTCAGAGTCTGGGGCTGTGCATGAGGGCCGGGATGCTGCAGTTATGGGATGTGCTGCACGACGGGTCTGGTGTGGTCTGTGTATTGAGAGCAGGGTGCAGTGGCGGGGCGGAGGCCGTGGGATGTAGGATGTGTACGTGCCATGTGGCGGGTGTGCTTTGTAGAGCATGGGCCCTGTGTGTCAGAAGGGGCTGCTGTGTGTGTGCCTCTGTGCAGTGTGGGTTGTGAAGCAAGTGTGTCAGAAGGGGATAGCGCATAGAGTGTGTTCATCTGTTTGTTTATGTATGCATGGTGTGTGGCTTGTAGAATGGGTGTATGTAGGGGGTGGTTTGGATTGTGGGGTGGTGTGTGAAGGGTGTGCAAGGTATGTGTGTGCATACAGGATGTGTGTATGTGAAAGGTGTGCACGTGGGCATGTGCAGTGTGTGCGTGTGTGCAATGTGTGTGCGTGCAGGGTGTGTGCATGTGTGAAGAGTGTGCTCTGTGTGTAGTACGTGCGCAGTGCACGTGCAATGTGTGTAGGGCAATGTGTGTAGGCCATGCGTGTGCAGTGTGTGTGCAGAGTGCGTAGGCTGTGTGCAGTGTGTGTAGGGCGTGTGTGTGCAGGGTGTGTGCATGTGTGAAGAGTGTGCTCTGTGTGTAGTACGTGCGCAGTGCACGTGCAATGTGTGTTGGGCAATGTGTGTAGGCCATGCGTGTGCAGTGTGTGTGCAGAGTGCATAGGCTGTGTGCAGTGTGTGTAGGCCGTGTGTGTGCAGTGCGTATGTTTGGGAGCAGACTGAGCCCTGCACCTTTCTCTTCAAACCAGAACCAATCTGATGCTCGAAGGCGGCGTGCACCTCTCCCCTGCCCATTGGGTGACTCTGTAGCAGCCAGCCCGAGGGGGGACGCTGCAGTCTCCATGGGTCTGTCTGAACGGCTGAACTCGCTCCCACACCCTGGGCGTGGACTAACCAAACGCTCTGCACCCCCCGCAAGTGGACATCAGTACGAGGGGCTCTTGGAGACGGGGAATCCCAGACTCCCGCAGAGAGGGACGTTCGACGCCTTTCTCCCCTCCCACGGCACAGGGCAGGACTCAGCTGGCGTCAATCAACTTCACTCATTGACTTCGAGGGAGCTGCCCCTGGTGACACCAGCCGAGGATCTGGCCCTGTATCTTTTCCCTTTGCCCTGTGTTAATTTAACCCCTTCAAACAAACAAGGGGCAAACGGGAGAGACGCACGTCATGGCCTGGTAGATGGACTCCACCCCGTATCTCATGGCGAACTCGTCCACTATCTCCTGGG